GGGGAAAAGGGGTTGGGGGGCGGCAGCGGGTGCCGCTGGGAGACCCCTGGGGCGCCCTCGTCGCGGGGCCTCGGTAACTGCCTGGTGTGCGCCTGCTGGAGCCCAGCCCTGCTCAAGTTGTAGCACTTTTACCCCGGGGCTCGCGCTCAGCAGCACTAGCTGACGCTCCACACGTGACCCCCATTTGTTCGTGGAGCCTCCACCCTCCGAGCCCCTCGTTCGGCCTCACCTGGCCCCTCCTGCCCGAGCTGGATCAGCAGCGAGCAGTGCTTGGCACTCCTTAGGCAGAAAGTTCAGGGTGCATGGGAGCGCGGGGTCCCCATCTGAGCCCAGCTTTAGCAGCAATGGAGGGGGGTCCCCCTTCTGCCCTTGATTTGAGGGGTAAGCAGGATGGCTATGGGGGAACCTCCAGCGATCACACCCCAGCGGGGCCCTCTGCAGCTTCATTAGGAGGAGCGCAGGTATGAACCCAGTGTCGAGAGGAGGTCACAGGTCCTCCCTGGTGGAGGCCAAAGCGCAGCACTATGAAGCAATGAAGCAACCGGGAGCTACTGGGCCAGTTCCACACCCAGCCAGGGAGGTGGGTGACCCACATGGCGCCGCAGACCTCTCCCGACAGCCCACTGCTCCCCTGGGCAGTGGATTTCAGTCAACTTGCTTGTTCTGTTTCCCACTCTGTCTCTACTGAATCCTCTCACTGCCCCCCCAACACACCTCTGGCTGCACCCCAGTTATTGTATGCATAAATAACTAAATCTTAGGGCCACCGCAAGTCTTGAGCTGGCACTATCCTCCTACCCACTAGGCCCCCACCTGCTCGGAGACTCTCTGTGGCCCCCGCAGGGCCAGCCTCCGGGCTCTGCGGACTCCCTCTGGGCTTCCAAGCTCCTTTCTCCTTTTTCTTTGCTGTCTGACTTTCTCCGGATCCATACTGAAGCCTCTTTAAAAAGGAGGTCTGGTGAGGCTGGTGATTTTCATCAGGAGAAGTGAGAAAGAGGGAGAAGGAGAGGAGAAGAGGAAGGGGAGGAAGAAGAGGGAGACAGGGGGCAGAAAACCCGCGAGGGCATCGGGGCCAGCCATGACTGGCTCCCTCTGTCTTCCTTGGCATTTCTTTTCATGGATTCTTGGGAGTTTATCCCTCCAGTTCTTTATAAAAGGATTTCAAGAAGATTTCTCTACCAGGCTGGCATTCTAAAGGGTTTACGGTGTGATGGGCCAACCCTCCCCACGCACACGGAAGCACACACGTGCACAGGTGCACGCACGCACACAGGCGCGCAGGCGCGCAGGCGCACAGGTGCGGCTTTGCGTGTCTCACGGCTCCTTCCCTGCATCTCACCGGAGGCCCTGAGAGATGAGCCGGTCTGCCTAGCCATCCACCTGCAGTTGCTAAACGGCACAACTGAAACTCAAACCGAGGACAGCACCTCTCTTACATCGGAGATTCCTGATATGGAGAAAAGGGAGGTGCTCTGCTTTCTCCCTATCCCACTTTCCAGCCCCTCCCTCTTAGATACGCTAGAATTTTTAGGGAAGCGATAAGTACAATTTGAAAATGCACTTGCAATATTAATGTACAAAATTAAAATGTGGTAAGAACAGAATCCTGCTGCTTTTAAGATTAGCTAGGGGACTCCCTGATACCAAGGAGCCTGTCTCCAGGCTTCACTGACTCCCTGGCATCTAGGTGGCACTGTCAGGAGGCAGATGTTCATGTCAAACAGGAGCAGAGACAAAGTGCAGTAGAGGAGCCAGCAATCCCCACGGTGGAGCTGGCTGGCTGCCTCCCTGGAGAGAGGCCAACTTAATTTAGAGCAGATTTAAACCTGGGGTGGTGGGGGGGAAGAAAGGGAACAAGGTATTCTGGGTCCTCAAGGCACAGAGCAGGAGTGGAGTTTGGGAGATTGTTAAGTGAGGCAGGAGAGAAAGGGTGAGAGGAAGCATTGGCAGAGCCTCGAATGGCAAACTTAGAAAGTAGGGCTTGTCCCTGCAGGCAGAGCCATAGCTGGCTTTAGAACAAAGGAGTGACTTGTGTAATGTGATTAGGAAGGCTTATCTGGCACAATGGATTACACAATGGGATGCAGGAGACCAATTTGGAGACAGGGTACCCTCACCCTGAGGGTGTGGATGTGGGAGGAGGGGTGTGGAATGGGAGACAGGGTAATAATAAGTAAGAAAGACAAAATGAGTCCCCGGGTAAACTGTAAGCACATGAAAAGGTGCTTAACATCACTAGTCTCAAGGGAAATGAAAATTAAGACCGCAATACTATGGTAATATTACTTCTTCTAATAAAACCAGTGAGATAGTCCTTGAGACCCACTTGAATGGCTAAAATTAAATAGCCAGACAATACTAAGTGCTGACAGGGGATGTGGAGCAACCGACTTCTTATTCATTGTTGATCAGGGTGTAAAGTATACAACGCCTTTGGGAAACAGTTTAGCAATTTCTTGTATGGGTAAATATACCCTAACCCCACGACCCAGCAATTCAACTCCCAGGTAGTCACCCAACAGGAATGAAGACAAGTGTGTGAATGGTCACAGCCACATCATGCATAATGGCCAAACTGGAAGCGGCCCTCATGTCCACCGACAAGAGAGTAAAGGAAGCATACGGGGTAAGAAGGAGCAGCCAGGCAGGTCCCAGTGCCAACGGGGATTCCACTTACAGAAAGTTCCAGAACAGCTGGAACTAGGATATAGTTATAGAAATCATGCCAGCACTTGTCTGGCATGAGGAGATGTTAGTTGCAAAGGGACAGAGAAAACTTTCTGGGAAGATGGAAGTGTTCCATATCTCCATGGTGACTGTTTACCCGGGTGCATTTGTTTGCGAAAAGTCACCTGCCTGACACTCAAAATGGGTATACTCTATTATAGTTAATTAGACCTCAGTAAAGTTGATTCAAGCAAAAACCAAACAGCAAGGAAGGTTTCCTTTTTTTCATTTTTATTTATTTATTTTTTTTATTTTTGCATTGCTGGAGTATAGGCCAGAGGTATGGGGCTGGGGAGGTGAGAGGATTCACCAGGGACGGTAAGGAGTGGAACAGGAGGAGCTATTGAAATCCACTACTAAGGGGGGCAGCGGGGAGACAGAAGAGATCCGCTGTGCTATATGTGGGTCAGCTCCCTGGCTGGGGCTCAAACTCAGGCCCTCGTGGAGATAGCACTGAGACTTAAACCCTATGCCGCCAGGGAGCCCCAAGGTTTTCCTTAAAAATGGGGAGAACTGGGCCCTCCCTGGTGGTGCAGCGGGTTAAAGCACTGCACTGAGAAGCTAAAGCCACTTCCACATGAGTTCGATTCCCGCCTGCCCCGGAGGTGACCACATGGCGCGGCAGACCTCTCCTGACCGGCCCGCTGCTCCCCTCAGCAGTGTGCCTCGTCGATCTGCCTGTTCTGCTCCCCACTCTGTCTCTGGTGAAGCCTCTCACCGCCCCTGAGCCTCTAGCCTGTACCCCGGTTCTGTATGTACAAATAAATAAATCTTTAAAAAAAAAAAAAAATGGGGAGAACTTTATAAAAGCTGAAAGCATGCATGCCCAGGCGTAGACTCGACGGAAATGCAAAGAAACATCCAAGAACAGGCAAGATCTGGGGGGCCATGCCAATGCCGCCCCAGTAGTGAGACGGTAAGGAACGTGTGGTCTCTACGAGCTGAGGGCTGCGGCCAGCCCTCACCTGGTGTTGAAGGAGATGAGCCAGATAGCAGAGCACCACTGGCATCCAGTCATGGCCAGCCAGTTCAGACACAGGTGAGGACAGCGGTCCCTGGTTAGGGTGGTGGCCAGGAGGGGACACAAGGATTTCTTGGAACTGGTGCTAGTTATTCTTGAACATGTTGCTTTTATTGAAATTCAGCACGATGATTGTTATGATGTGTGTATTTTCTTGTGTTATATTTCTTCTTTAACGTTATCGGTCACATCACCATCTATGATTCAAGGAAGCAGGTTCACGCCTCCTCATGTGAGTTGTGTTTTATATTTCAATTAAAATATCTGCTTTATTTTACAGTTGCTAACAGTATTTCCTTCGAGGTATCAATCACACAGCAGACTTCATAAATGCAGCACAGGGAAGGGTGGGAACAGGGCGAGTGCTGACTCTGAGGATGGGCAGGCACCCCTTCAGCTGCCAGCAGTCGGTGACACCCTCAACTCTTCCCTGCTCCTCTCTGTCGGGCTGCCCTAAGCTCTCAGCCCTGGCGCTTGGTTTCCCAGCCCTCCACATCCTGCTCACAGGAGAGAATGAATTGGGAGAAGAAGCCTGGTTTGCGAGGCTCGAGGGACGGCCAGGAGGGCGCCCACCTCCGCTGTGCTTGGCTTCTCACAGCACGCCTGGAGCCCGAGAGCCCCGGAGCAGGCCCGTCACCTCTGCCCACAACAGCCCCCAGCCTCCTGCTGAGCCAGGGCCGGGCTGTCTGCTGTCTGCTCCCCGCCCCCTCCCCGGACCCGCCCGTGCCCACGCTCAGCCCTCGCCTGTCTGCACAGGGTTCGGCACATTTGAAAAGCACAGTGGGCCCGGCGGGCCTAGCTGGCCGGCGTGGCCTCGGTGAAGCGACTGGGCCTCTGAGACCGAGGTCCTTCGTACGTGCTAAAACCAGACCTCTAGAGGAGTGAGAAATACGCCCAAGAAAGTGTTTGCATGTTCCTCCTGCACCCAGCGGGCCGGGCACACGTCTCACGGGCCCGCTGGCCAGCAGCCCGCGGTCTCAGCTGCCCAGCTTGACCTGTGAGGGCCTCCAAGCTCTAGCTCCATCTCTAACTACACTCCTGCCTGGATCAGGGTGACTGCTCACTGACCTCTGACCCCTGACCTCTTGCGTCTTCCCCTCACCCCCATCCAAACCACCGGCCCTCTGGGGCCCTGGTGACCCCTACAAAGCTTTGCCCAGTTCTCCTGTATTTCACTCCTACTGATTCCCCTACTGTGTTCCAGGGGCCCCCGCTTGCGTCCTACCCTCCTCTGACCTCGTGGCCTACCACGGCCTTGGACGTCAGCTGTCACGCAGTGCCCGGCAATGATTGCTCTCGAACGTGACAGTCTAGCGAGACTCCCGAGTGCCCCCACCCCCACACCACCTGCCTGCATTAGTCAGGGTAAGTAACACTGGCTTTGTGACAACCAACCCCAAGCACCCCAGACTAACCACAACACAGCTTATGGGTTGCTCACCTCACAGTGTGATAAGGCTCGGGGGTGACGTGGGCACCTTGGGTACCTCCATCTCCAACATCGGCCACGGCATGGCTGTGGAAGTGGAGAGAACATGCATGTGTGCAGCTCCACGTCTAAAACCTGCCTCCCAGGGGCCGTAACCCTGGATGGTCAGGCAGGTGACCCACGGGGAGCATGGAGCTGGGGCTTCCTGTGTGCCCAAGCGAAGGAGGTGGCATTGATGACTACAGTCTACCCCACTGTTCCACCAGCTTTCTGAGGGCCTGGGCCCTACAGCAGCATCCTCGTCCTCCCTGAACCCCTCAACAGTGTCAGCCGCCTGGCTCCCTCCACACCATCGTGCCCAGATTGGTGCTCAATATTTACCAGCAAGTGGACAGATTCAGAGCAGACTGCCCAGCAGAAAGGGGGACGGGCTGCCGGGCAGACGGAAGCTGCCATGCTGTGAACAGCTGTGTTCCCCTGGAGTCTGGCCCGGTGCCTGGCATGTAGCAGGTGCTTAGGAAACGCGGGTTCACTAAATGAATAGGGGGTGTGTGGAGAGTCTCGAGAACACAGGCTCAGGCGAATGGAAGGAGTGGACTGCAGTTTCAAGAAACACTAGCTGGCAGAGAAGACTCAGGGCAACCAGAGGCAGGTGAACCTCTCCAGACTTGACCTGAACCAGAGGCAGGTGAACCTCCTTCCAGACCCCAGCAGATGAGGGGCCCATGGACCTACTCAAGGAACAATAATAGC